CTCGTCTCGGAACCAGAGGCCCCGGGTTCGAGTCCTGACATGCCACCGATCTTGTGCCCTTGCGAAAGGCACTTTACACGACTTTCCTCACGTCGCTCAGGTGTAAATGAGTATTGTACTGTCCCTGTGTTGGTGGCGGCATTAATATAAGTTGAAAAAACTTGAGTGTGCCGTCACCACGTCTTGCGATTCCATGTCTCGGAATATAAAAACAAAACAAAAAAAAAACGACACACAAACACCGAGACAGACACACACACAAACACACACATACATACATACATTCACACAAACACAAACACACACACACACATACACACACACACACACACACACACAAACACACACACAAACACACACACAAACACACAAACACACACACACAAACACACACACACAAACACACACAAACACACACACACATTTGTCTGACAACATTTCCGCAATTTTTTAAAACCGTTTGAACTTTGAATTTTTTTAACCAAGGGCCAGGCCAAGCTTGTCTCGTAGCGGAGTTACTTGGATTTCAATCTTAACACTCGGCGAGGTCAACAACCTGAATGACACGTACTAAACAAAGCAACCCATTCAAAAAGACGCCATTATTTAAACTCAGTCAACTAAAAACTACCGGAAGTAGCTTGGGGGACCAACAAGTCCCAAGATGCATAGCGCCATGGAAGCCGATAGTGGAGATTTTACGATGTACTGTTTTTTCCTGTGTTTTGTTCCTGTGGCGTTTGAATCTTTTTCAATGAATGCTATTACCTATTCCCTAATAATTATATAAAATCGTCTTTTCACGGCGGTCTGTCACTACGGTATTCTTTTCTATTGTTAGGCGCGTTTGAAAAGGTATCGGGTTACAAGACGCTATTTTGGCCTGTTGTGGACCACCAGTAAACACTTGAAAATAAACAAAAAGGTTTTAATGGTAAATTTCGTCAAATTAACATGAAATTATTGTCTTAACATCCTTTTGATATTAGCTGTTTATGTTAAATCATTGACTTTTTTAAATTTCGCTCCAAAAGACGATTATTTTCGGGTTTCCGACCACAAGTCAAGTCAAGCTTTTAGGCAAACCTCGTTTAAACCTGGTTTAAACCCCAGATCGCCGATTTTTATATTTTTCGACGACTACAAATAAGATCAAAAATCTTTTTTCAGGAATTTTTAAATTTCTGATTTTAAGTCTAATTTTTGTCGACATATGGGTGAAAAAATTGCATTTTTGTACATTTTTCGCACTAAATTACCCATAATTCAAAATTGAGGCTATTTTTTTAAAAATCCCTAAAACACGATTTTCGGGACAACCGTTACGGTCATTTTGAGCCGTGAATGGGGTATGTTTGACTCTCTATGATTGCAGGTTTAAACGAGTTTTGCAGACATGTTATGTCGATCAAAATTCTACGTTGTTTTAATCATATTCGCGTAAAGAATCATTACAGTATTCAAGGTCACCCAATGATACGACAGTAGCTTCACTACATGTTACATGTCCACAAAAAATGATAGCGGACATGTACTGTCCTGGAAACTGTTTGTATCTATGGAAAAGTGTTGTTTTTTTATCTGTGGCGAGGCACGGAGGCAGAAGGGCTTGTCAAGTTGCCGCTTTATTACAAATGACCGAAGGTGACCCCGAAATGGAACGCGGGTTCGATTCGAATTGCCCAGATCGAACACGATCGAACACAGTCCGGGTTCTATGAAATGTGGGAACTTTGCAGTCCAGATTTTACCACCGTGTTTTCTTGAGCTGTTTCCATACAAGTATAGTAAAATCACCACAAATGTTCACTACGAGCCCCTTGTTTCGTCTGGCATACATTCATTCTGTAGTGTTGAAATGGGCCCCTGTAACACAGCCTTAGGATTGTCAAACATAGCCCAGGTGGAAAAAACAGCTGAACTAGAAGGGCAAATATTTGCTCGAGTTGGGCTCAACATCCCCGTAGCGTTAATTTAAATAGGTGGGCGAATGACTCTTGGCTGCCGAAGGAAAGCATGTAAAACGTTCTCTGCAGGCTGTGGATTCACACACAGTACGTACGGACCCGTACGGCAGGTTGTGACCGAGGCTGTAGGTATAAATGTGCTGCGTCATGCCCTGAAACACGTACTACTAGCCAAATATGGTCTCCCGAACTTTGACACTGCCGAACTCCATGGCAACGGGTATTGTTTTCAGGGTTAGGTCGGGAGTAAGGTTTGTTCTGGTTCGGGCTGGTGGAGAAAGAGGTACACCGTATGTTACAAGTGTACTGGTACCACAAAATCCGAAACAGGAACAAGGAAACGTGGGGGTGTTGTGGGTATGGATCGAACACTAAGAGTAATTTCAGTCCGTCTCAAACGCGACAGTGTTTGTTTAATTCTGGAAAGTCTGTGTGTGTGAGCCGCCACGAACATGGCTGGACGAGAAATGGCTGGGTATGTGTACGTACGGACCGCGGCAGGGCGACTAGCCGCATTTGTGCTGGAAGTAGCGCTTTTCCTCACCGTTTGGGGCTTGCTGGTTCAAGTTACGGACGCAGGTAGGGTCTTCGTACATGTTTTGAGGTCAAGACGACACGTATATACGATAAGTGTGGCAAAACGTATGTTTCATTCATAAGAGAGAGCAAATGGCTGTCTGTATGGATCAAACAATGGTGGCAGGGGTCAAAAAATAGATTCGGCTCATATTTTGCACAGTGATAGTACTTGGTCCACAACCCCTCAAAATAGCTCTCTTTCCGGTCAAAAGTGACCGTTGCCATGGTGACGGGCCAAACAGGGTTTTTTGGCCATTTCCGCTAATTTTTGCATGTCAAAAACATGAAAATTTCCAAAGTTTAGGACTGAATTATGAACGAAATCTTGGACATTAAAGCAAAACAAAAGCGGGGCTAAAAGAGCAACGGTTTTGCTTTTCCAAGAAAGCTTTGAAAGTTTCAAAAATCTAGTTTGAAGTACTTGGAAGGTCTCAAAACAATACAGTGTTTTAGGGTTGTCAATTACAGTAGAGATTTTCATTTTCATTTTTATTTTATTTACCCAGGGTAAAACATGTCGCCGTAAGGGCGTTTTTCAATGTTCCCTGCGGACATATACATTTACAAAATATACTTATTAGCTTAAAATAACCAACAGGAAAACAAAGGTACAACGAAGCTTAATTACAAAAATAACATATTGGTAAAGTGTTTCAAAATCATACGGTAAACTAATAACTTATATGAAACAAGCGAAAAAATATAAGAAATGAAATAAATAAAGAGGATAATGGAAATTTGCATATCAATGTTACAAAACAAAATTTTGATCTGGAAGAATCAGCAGTTCTGCTGGTATAGATCCCAATCGGAGTACAATCTGTGAATATGGTGCAACCTGCGATTTCTGTTCAGTATGATATACGTGCAGCATTAAAAGATATTTAGTTTTCATGGCAAGAACATGCCATCTAAATGATATCATTAGCTATCATCAATACAATTGTCCAATGAATGTTTAATTTTAAGGACATGTTAGACAATGTTCAATCACTGTTCTAGCCGGCGTCCATCATTTGACGGGATTCTGCTGCTCACAACGGACAAAAAGTTTGCTCAATCCATCATCTTTTGTGGAAAAAAATCAGCAATTAAAAAAAGCTAAGCATATAGACTGCCAGCATTAAGAGGGTCACGATTTCAAACTTTGGCATGATGTTACGTCAAACAAAATTGAAATGATGAAATAATTTAAGGCTGGCTAAAACACTGCATCATACCCATACTCAAGTATGCTGCCCCCTGAAGGTGTAATAACGCTCTGATGCCCCTATAGGGTGTATTCATGTGACGGCCTTGTCCCCTACATCATAATTTTGAGGTACATCCCCAAGTCGGCAATATGTTGTACCTAAACATGGGGGCCGCCTGCTCGTTTCAGCCCCGCTAGTTGCTATACAAGGAGGTAGCCTCTACCAGGCACCGCGTATCGCTGGAAAATACGTGGGTCGCAAATTGGAGCTTCTATGGCCCTGGATCTTCTCTTGTATACTATCCCTTTATTTCGGCCAATTTCTACTATTTTTCCAGCGATCCGCGGTGCCTGGTAGAGGCTACAAGGAGGGTCACCTGACTGAATACGCCGTATAGATTTTAATCGCTGTTTTAAATGTAAATTATACTCTATCTGTTAAAATTGATAAAAGTATATATTTATATAGTATAGCGTAGCTTAGAACATACGCGTAGAGGTGTACTAGCTCTTAGTTAGTTAGTTCTATTCAACATTTTGCCAGACATGATACGCGTTGAACCTATATAGCTAACACGTTACATGTAGAATCTTAATAGACTCATACCAGCTGGTAATCTTATTATTATCTGCCAAATATTGTACCTGTTACAATCGTTGTGCAATAAACTTTGACTTGCAACTAACTCGGGATTTGTGACATCATACTTCCGGGTTCGCGGAGGTCAAAGCCTCAAGCCTCTGTCACACAGCCAAATATGATCTCCCGAACACTGCCGAATCCCATGTAACGGTAGGCTGGTATCCAGTCTTACGTGGCAGGGGCAGGTTTTCCTCGGGGCTGCAGGAGCTCTATCCCGCCCGCCTCAGCTAGGTTTCCCGGTGTGTATTTCACGATGTGATATTGATTAGCCCTACCACGAAGTGTTGGGGCAAATCAAGCCCCCTGGCATACCTGTAACCACCTCTATTAGCGTAACACACCTACCGGGCGGCCTGTTGTTCCTGGGCGGAGGGAAGCTATTACAACCCCGAAGACACAGCCTGCCCCAACTACTATGCCCCAATCACGATAAGCCTGGATGCCAGGCTACAGTAATGGTCATGGTTTAGAGGATTAGGTCGGGAGTAAGGTTTGTTCTGGTTGGCCGGTGTGGAGTTATAAGAAGTACCCCGGATGTTACAAGTGTACTAGTACCACGAAACAGGAACAAGGAAACGCGGGGCGTTCTAGGTACGCATCGGGCACTTAGAGTAATTTTAGTCCGTCTCAAACGTGACAGTGTTTGTTTGATTCTGTAAAGTCTTAAGTCTGTGTGTGTGTGCCGCCACGACATGGCTGGACAGGTGTACATACGGACTACGGGAGGGCGACTGTCTGCATTTGTGCTGGGAGTAGGGTTTTTCCTAGCGGTTACGGCAGGTACGATCTTCGTAATGTTTTGGGGTTTTGGGGTCAAGGCGCCACGTATATACGACACTTATGGCAAAACGTGTGCTTCATTCATTGATACGTTTCGTACATACGTTTTACACGTTATATTACTATATTGTTTCAAAGAGAACTACCAGTAGTATCCAGAGTTACCACCGGCTCCGTATTGTCGCTAACTACCATGGACGACCCAGGCCTAGAGCCAGGCCAGAGCCTCGGTAGACTTGATCTTTTGTGTGTGTGGGGGGGGGGGGCGG